TCTCTCTCTCTCTCTCTCTCTCTCTTTCTCTCTCTCTCCTCTCTCTCTTCCTTTCCTCTCCCTCCCTCTGTCTCCCCTCCCCCACCATAAAGTGAGGAATGCTTCATGATTGACTTCCTGCACTAATGTTCTGCTGGGACAGGTGACCATGGACTAGAGCTCTGAAATCATGGGCTACCCTCTTTCTTTCAATCTGTATTTTGTCATGGTTATGGCAAGCTGACAGCTTTCAGAATCTCTCAGATCTCTCTCTCTAACTTTGTATCATCCCCACCCAACATGGATGCATATACACATCATTATAATGGGCTAACAGAAACAATAGAATCTACAGTGGAATAACCTTTGGTTCTGGAAAATTTAACTCAGACAAACCTCCACTTCCTTAGCTACCTGTATTTCTCAACTGAGAAATAAATGTAAAATCCACCCTACCCTACTCCCACGTTTGCTTAGTAGCATGAAATGATAAATTGTGCAAAGTCTGCATTCAGAGAAAAACAATAAAATAGGATGTTTTAGTAGATGGGACATAAAAGCTTCCAAGCCAGCCTTTCCTTCCCTGATAAAAGCCAGGATACAGTAAGAAGCCATTAGAAAACAAAGTAGATTAACATAGGATCTATTTTTACAAGGTCATGAGACAATCAGTGTCTTTTAGCCAGTTCTTACCTTGTTTATTCTGAAAGGCCTTTCAGTGGTATTCTGCACTGAGAACTGATGCTCCCAGGTCCCTTTAAAATAAAGGGCATTCACCAGAACCATCTTAGTCATGGAATCCACTGAGTCAACAGGGAGGAGATTGGGAATTTTACCTATAAGAACAGGACAAATTTCAAGTGGGATATGTATGTTTTAATTAGGTAACCTGATTTCCTTTTTTTTTTTTTCCTGGAAACAAAGTTTTCTTTTAAAAATCCATTTTCAGATATTCCAGAAGTAGAAAAATTCATGATTAAGTAGTTTACATTTTCTTAAAAGCTATGAGGGGGGAGAGAGATGCTGGAAAAAATAATATGGCAACTTCTCCAATAATTATCATTTTCAGCCACAGTAAACAAATGCACAGCAGTATCCACAGCTTTCAAGGATGACTGTCACTTAAAGTTTTCCCCAAAATGCTAATTCATGAATCTAAGCAACAAATTGAAATGTGGTATGGTTACATAAAAGGAAGGCATAGTGTTATTATTTGCAGATCATATGGTTAACAAGGAAAGTAAACTGAAATACAGAAGAAAATTTGTTATAAATGTTGACCTATGCTACTTTACAGACGATGTTTTGTTTTGTTTTTTTTCTTTTTCTCCTAGCAATAGAAAATAAGAAAGATATAGTTGCATTTTGGTGCTATATCAGTTTTATAAAACTGTTATTGATAAATATTGGTTTACTTAGATGGTTAGTTTATTTGTTTGTATGTTTAACAAAACATCCTTTATGTAGCCCAAGGCTAGCATGAAGAACTCAACAGGTAGTTTAAGCAGGCCCCAAGGGCATAATCTTCCTGATTCAATCTCAGTGGGATGAGTTGCGTCACTAAAATCAGCTTACTAAAATAGTATTAAGTCTTGGAACCTTGTGTCTGCCAAGGATATTAACCTGAAAGTTAGCTTCAAAGAAATGTTCCTTCCCCCTGGGGCAGAAATCAAATCAGCATCTCAAAGGTACTTGGTTGTAATTTCTTTGTAGTACCTTTGTTCTGAACAGTACATTGTTTTTTGAAAACTTTGACACTTTTGGAAAAAAATTGCCCTTTGTTGTGCAGAATGTCCTCAAATTCTAATTTGAGCTTATTTCATTGTTCCTTGAGATAACATTAAGAATATCCATTTTTGTGAGGAAATCCTTGTACGTTTAATTTGCCACACCTCCAAAACTTTTATGTTCCAAGCCCCAGGACCTGGTATATGTGTCTTTATTTGGAAAGAGAATTTCTACAGATTTAATCAAGTTAAGATCATGTCATACTGTGTTAAAGTAATCCTCAGGCTAGTGGCTCATGTCCTCCTAGGAAGAAGGAAATGTAAACACAGACATTAAAAAAGAAACAATGTGAGCACACAGGAACACAAAAGAGACTCAAAGAAAAACAAGAAAAACAAAGACAAGAATGATATAGCCTCACTCCAAGGACTACTCTGGAGCCAGCAAACCCCCAACGGGAAAATGAATTTGGACTCTTGGCCTCCAGAACTGCAGCAGAATGATTTTTTTTTGTGCCCTAAACGCTAATAAATAATCTTAATTTGCAAGATAGCTATGATCTTGCACTCGTAAAACATTGCTCTACTTTTGTTACAAATTAATAACCATTTTTCTTTAAAATCACAAGTGCAACAGTCATTCCTATATCCCATTTTCCATTTCTTTCCTTTTATCTTGTATTCCTCTTTGGAATCAAAAAGCTATATTCTTTTTCCTCTCTACTTGGAAAAGTGGAGGTTTGACTTCTATATTTTAGCCTTACTGGGAAGGCCACCAATCTAAAATTTACAGGTGTAAATAGAAAGAAAAGTTTTGAATATTTATTTTGAATATTTGGACATGTGTCCCACAGTTCCACTAAAGAAACACATAGGTGTATATGGCACAACTTCATATAAATAAAATGAAATTTGGAGCAAGCCCTTCTTAGCTGTGTCCTGGGCAAAAAGCTTACCCCCTGTCTGGCCTTCCACCCAGGAGTTGATCTCTGTTCTGATTTGGCCAGAAGCTCCGACAAAGTTAACAGACTTTGGTTCTGCACCAAAATATGTTTCCATGTCCTTCAAATATTTCTGAAAGACATAGGTAAAATTCACTTTTGTACAGTTTGTCCAAAACAGGGAAATCAAACCTGTGTACATTATTTAAAACAAAAAATCAACTGAGGAGAGCAACTGTTCCCACTCCACACCTCCCATCTCTATTTCACCATTCCTGGTATCTGTCAAAATATAAGTGCAATCCTTTTCAAACCAACTAGCCATACAGAACTCCAGGGATAGAAGAAAACTCTGGCTACCCATAGTTCTGGATTTGGATCCTTTCTTGACTATTTTTAAATATTATTTATTTTATTTTTGATATTATAATTGCTTTATTTACCCCTTTCTTTTCCTCCCTCCAAGTCCTCTCATATGCCTCTTCTTGATCTCTTTCAAATTTGCGGCCTCTGTTTTTTATTAATTGTTGTTACATACATGTAGATATATGTATATACATATATATTTCTGAATACATCAACACAACCTGCTCAGTCTATGTGATACTACTTGTGTGTATGTATTTTGTTGTGTTTTATTCAGGCCTGGAACTGAGAGTAGAATAAAAAGAGAAGACTATAAATCCACAGGAGTTACCCAGTGGACAAATGGTATTTAGAGTTGGGCTTGGCTTTCTGTGTGAGGCATGGGAGGAAACACAGCAAGACCTGTTGGTCTGCAAGTTGACTGCTTGTGGTCTCCAAACACCCAGGAACTTACAACAATCGAAAGAAAACTATATTCTGCCAGGCAATGTGACCCAGAAGTGAGACCAAAGACCTCACCAGCCATTTTGAGGGAATGATCAAGGCCTCTAACTCTGGAGTTTTGATGTCCCACTCCATGGCATCCATCACAGCTGACTGTAACTGAGGTTGCAGCTGCTGTAGCATCCACCATGGGGACGTAATTTGTTCTCCTTGGGGAGGTGCCATGTTGCTTCCTTCAGTTTGCTTATTTCTTGGACAACTTACAAGAAGTAAAGTGTGGCAAATTAGTCCTGTCCCCAAGACATAGGTTAAAGGTTGTGAGGACTGTATTGGGATTTATAATCCACCAAAAATAAAACATAAATATGAGGCACTACATACACCTTGTTAATTTACCTGTATACCCATAAAAAGATGTGCAGATGACCATATACCTTTTGTTTTGAGCCCAGTGCTACTGAGCTCAACTCTTTCTTGGTAATGAATTAGTTAAGTAGGATTCCAAAAGCCTGCCAGTCATGAAACTGTCTTTAAGACTCTTCCTAGATGGTTTTGTGGATTCAGTATTAACAAATCCTAAGGACCTAAATCTGAAAGAACTCACTGAAGTGGGCAGCCACTGCATTGTTGAAACCACAAGATACCTGCTTCTCATCCATCCTATCTAATGTTTCTCTTTGCTCTTTTTGATCTTTGTAAATGGTGTGATCCACAAACTTAAAAGAGAAAAATGATTCACTGTACTCTGAGGAGCACTTGAGTCTTACTGGGTCAGGGTGACCAAGGTTACCATTGGTGTGCTTTTAATCATCAGACAAAGAGGGAACTTTGCATCATTTCATGGTCCATATTGACAAAAATCTCTAAAATTCTGTTGTGGGAACTTCCTTCTATTCTCATTTCAAGGTCTTCTTTGTTCCTAAGGACAGCCTCTAGCAACACTCCTGTGGTGGACACCATTTTTGGCTCCTTCAATTCTACCCTACTTTTACATGACTCTATGTTCCCCATTCTGTCTTCTTGTGGAACAAGTGCTAGCTCAAGGAGCCCATATCTATGTGTTCATGAGCCATTTCTGTGTCAGACCCAATACTGGCTTTCTTTAGAACTTGGCATTCATCATTATTGTAAAATGACTGATTACCAGGAAATACTATCCACAATTTTTGGGGGGGCCCTAGAGAAATGTGTTCTTATTGCTGGTTCTTGCTTGCTTCTTCTTTTTCCATTAATCAGCAAAAAACATTTATACTCACATTATGAAATGGATAGGTTTTCTCCCCATATATCCTATTGGCTGTTTTGAGTATGTAGAAATTTCCAGGCTTGAGGATTTCTGAAGCAAGGGTCTGGAAATCAGAATGTATTTCTTCAACCTTGCCTGAGTTAAATTCCTTTAAAAGAAAGGGGATTAGAAAAAAATGTTGAACAAAAGTTAAATAATATATGACTAATGCATAGTTAAATGAAATTATTTGGCATATTACAAACATGAAGTGAAAACCATTTATTTAAAAAATATAAAAATGTCTTTTTTCTGATGTTACTAGTATATAACTTTAAAGAAGACACCTTTCCTTCACAGTTAGTTGCAAAGACAGACAAGAACAACTTCAAAAGTAAAACAAGAACTTGAAAGGAATCAAAAGGGTGATAAGAAAGAAGGATACAGAACTACTACAAAGCACAGACACTCTGGATTCTATAAAATATTCTGATGTATTTCATCTAAAAAAGGGATTGGTTAAACTGACCACAAAAGACACATATTAGAAGTCATCTCTTCACAATGGTCAAATGGATAGTAAATATATAAATACCATTTTTCTCTTCTTTTCACTATCAGGACCAGATTTGAAGTGCCGGCCTCTATCTAATTGAAGTACCTGTAATTTCAATTTTAAAAAAGCAAGTGAATTACTACAGAGAAGTACCCATATGAAATAACACTTTGTATATCTGAGTCAGTAGTTCTGCTGACCACAAAACACAAATAACTGAACAAAAAGGCTCCAATTGAGATTATCTGACGTCAATGGAGTAACTCAAAAGCTCTTCAAGTGAAATTTTTAAAACTCTGTTTTAACTTTCTTGTGACAGGGTGTGGCGATGCATACCTTTAATCCTGCACTTGAGAGGCAGAGAGGTAGGAGGATTTCTGAGCATTTGTGGCCAGGCTGGTCTATAAAGTGAGCTCCAGGACAGCCAAGGCTACACAGAGAAATCCTGTCTCAAAAAAACAAAATCAAAAACAAACCCAAAAGTTACTCTTCAAGGTATTTTTAACAAGGCTGGAAATATCCTGAAGTAAAATTTTCTTGTTTTACAAAGAAAGATAAGTGTCAGAGTACAAAATCCACTAAAGTTAACACTCGAATGTAGAGAGAAAATGTATTTTACACAATGAGATATTATTCATGTGTAAATAAAGGAAATCCTGGGTTTTTGTGGCAACCAAGTTAGAACTAGGATCCCATATATGGAAACTTATAAAGTTTATTTCATAGAAATTTAGAAGTGGTATGATATGTGCTATATAATTTTTTTGTCTCTAATTAATATAATTAGGTTCATGGCACCTAAAACCTTTACTATTTCCCAAGTGACTAGATTCACATTAGAACAATAGAACAATGTTTATGCCCCATGCATTACCTTTCTCTTAGCCTGTTTTCACCTGCTCCCTTTTGAAGTCCAAGCCTTAGATACTAGTGTCTGTTCCTTAAGATGGATCATAGAAACTCAAAATGCAACCTTAGTCCATTCTTGTCTTTGACAATGCCATCAAGACATCCTCTGACATTTCTTGGCTGACAGAGGTTTTTAGGAAAACAAAACAAGCAAACAAAAAGCCACTTGCTCCATACCTAGAGAATGGGTCCCTTTATGGTGCATACAGGGACCAAGAAAAGTTGGAATAGCCAGCCTTGTTGGGTTTCCTCAGTGTCAGTCTGTTAGCATCAGAATACACTCTTGCCCAGTATCTTGCTATATGAATGTCATCATTCAGAAATGCAATCAAGTCTCCCCAAAACACCAGAAGACAGGGTTCAGATAGTAAGTGAACATCTGCAGATCCCCAGAGGTTTGCATCCTGGGAAAGGTCACGGAAGCTGTCAGCCTCTATCCTCCATACCCTTCCCATTTCTTCATCTGCATCCTTTGTAGTATTCTTTATAATGAGCCAGAAAATAAGCATTTTTCTGAGTTCTGTGATCCACAATAACAAATTAACTGAGCTTGAAGATATTGTGGGAACTTGGGTTTATAACTGGCTGTTCGGTCAGAAGCATAGGTAAAACAGCCCAGAGCTCTGACTGCATCTGCAATAGAGAGAAAACCTTGGGGAGCAAGCCTCCTGCTATGGGATCTAATGATATTTGTGGGTACAATGTACAAGAATTTAGTGTATTTGAGCACACACTGTGTGGAAAGACCTCTAACATCTAGTGCCAGAAGTGGTGTGTGCTATAGAAACTATATTAGAATAAAGTAAGTTTGAGTTTGTTTTGTCTCCATATCCTCAACTGAAACAGGGAGAAAGATTGAGGGAAGTTGATTGGGTATCAAAATACAGCTAGACAGTGCAATAAGGCTGATCACTCTGCCCCACAGCAAGATGAAGACAATTCACAACAATCTATTCTATATTGTAAAAAAGAATTAGAAGACAGGACTTCAGAGAGATCGACCTTCTTGGATTAAAGTCATGGCACCAAACAACAAATTCAAATATATTTCTCTCACTGAACATCTTTTTCTAAGTGTTTTGAGAGATATTGTTGTAAAATTTGGACCAAACTGAAATTAAAACAAAAACAAAAAAACAGCATTCAGACAATGGACTATGATTATCTTTTCCCACTCACCTGGGACATCTGGGCTGCAGTGGTACCTTTGGTACCTAAATACACCATAGCCAAGGAAGTTGAGATGCCCCAAGGAGAAAAGAACATATTTTTACCCTCAGCAGATTCAGCTAGCTTTTTGCTAAACTCCAGGGCAAACTGGTTGATGGACACTGCTAGAGAAGCCATTGCGTATCTATAAAAAGCATAAAACAGAGAACATACAAATGTTGAATATTTTCCATTTAATTAATTTTTATAAAAGCATCTGTCCAAATAGGGATAGCTATATATATAACTATTGACAAGAACTGAGTTTATTTTAACAAATTATTTCCATCCCCTGTTTTTGTCTTATATATTCTGACACTTAAAAACATGGAATGTTGGATGTTTACTTCAATGTTTGGCTTACTTGCTCCAGACAACATCGGATTATGATCAGTTGACAGCTGAGTGTCATGACACATTTTTCCCATTCCCTAAACATTTACTACTTGTATGCCTCTGTGTAGTGTTCCCTAGATACTTAGCAATAATATTTTCTTCATATATTGCCTTGTATACCCAACGGCATATAGTTCAGCACTTTGCCCCAAATAGATATTTATAAGTACTTTTCTATTACTTATACATAGTCTTTACTGTTTGAGATACTCTAAGCATTATTTACTTTAATTTGATATTATGCACAATTAAGTTGGAAATCATTACACAGAAATTGAGAATACTGTCCCTTTTTTCTTATTCACTTTTCTTTAACAAGAAAACTCAGTTTTCCAATTTTTATATTATTGTATTACATAACTTCTAATTGCCCTGGCATTTTTATTTAAAATGCCTTTTAAAACTGAGTATCTATCAAATGTATATATTTAAACCTACCATTGTTCTGTAGTCAAATAATTTTCAAATTGATTAAATGACTGATACCAAATGCTTAAGCATGAGACCTCTGTAGGTACTTGTGCTGTGTAGAGGTAACTCCTGTCCCAACATCACATTTCTACTCAGAAATTTTCAACAAAGGCTTTGAGAAAGTCAGGTGTTCTCTCTCTCTGTGGTAGAAAACTGGAATCAAAGACAACTGTGTGTAGATTTTGGTTACGTCATGACTTTATGTAATTTTTTTTACAGTGATTCTTTTGAAATTCCTCCCACACATAAAGTTACACTTGACAAAACAGCTTCCCAGACTCAGCGTCACACCCAAGGTGTGGTTTCTACCCACTGCAGAATCTCCCAATGGGCCTAGGTAAATACTCTTTGAAGAAATAAAACTCTTTACTGTGTTGTGGTTACTCCACACTCTCACAAATCCTTGGAAATTTGCCAGTATCCCTTCCCCCACAAAATAATCATCTTAGAAATAACTACTTCCTTAAAGATCATATTCATTCAGGTTACATTTTGATTACACAATTTATATTTTTAAAACTCATGAAGTATATTCACAAGAAAATGTTTGGTTCTGTTGCAAATCACATTAACCAGCAAGATCAGAGAGCAAGCAACATCTCAGGTCCTGAGAATTTTATACCTTAATATCCAGATTATGCTTAATATAGAACTTACTTGTTGTGGAATATAATATTAAGATGTGTTACATTTGTTTATGTTGCAGAATAATGCAAATGTTTTAATGATGCAAAAATAAATTTCTTTCTCTTGTGTTACATTTGTTTAACCCTGTGAAGCCATATTACTTTGCCTTTCTAAAACATCAGATTGGTCTAATAAAGAGCTGGATGGCCAATAGCTGAGCAGGAGAGTGAAACAGGTGGGGCTGGTATTCAGAGGGAGTAAATAAGAGGAGAAATCTGGGAGGAAAGGGATCGAGGATCAAGAAAAAGAGGAGGAGAGGAGGACTCCTGGAGTCAGTCACTCAGCTATATAGCCAGCCACAGAGAAAGAGTGAAAGTAAGATATACAGGACCTCTGTAGTAGTTCAGTACTTATCCTTGTCATAGGTGTGGACTTGGGAGCCCATTCCACATAGAAGGATACTCCCTGAGCCAAGACACATGGGGGTGGGCCTAGGCCCTATCCCAAAGGATATGATAGACTCTGATGACCCCCTATGGAGGGCCTCACCCTCCCTGGGGAGCAGAAAGGATATGTGATAGGTATGGCTTTAGTTGGGGTGTGGGCTTGGTAAGAGAGGAGGGGAGGGAGTGGGAACTGGGATTGACATGTAAAACAATCTTGTTTCTAATTCAAATAAAAAAAAGAAAGGGAAAGATAAAAGCCCATTGGCAAAAGGTATATGGGATAATTTAAGTTAAGAAAAGCTGGCTAGAAACAAGTCACGCTAAGGCCAGGCATTTATAAGTAATAACATACCCCTGTATGATTTATTTGGAAGCTGGGTGATGGGTCCCCCAAAGACCCAAAGAGTAAAAACTTATTCATGTACAATAACTACCTGAAAATCATACTTTTCTCTATCAAAGAGATTTCCTTGTGTGAAAAGTTAATATCCTCTTATCTTCACTCTTCCTAAAGTCACCAGTAATGTATTAAGTATAGCAGAACAGGGCTGGAGAAATGGCTCAGTGGTTAAGAGCACTTACTGCTCTTCCAGAGTACCCAGATTCAATTCCCAGCACCCACATGGCAGCTCACAAACTGTCTGTAACTCTAGTTTCAAAGGACTGTTTACCCATGGCAAACCACCAAAGCACATAAAATAAATATAAATAAATTAAGAAAAGAATCTATAAAAAAATGTATAGCAGAACAGACAACTCCCATCTTTACAAAACAACTGTGAGGAAACTTTAAGCTGGTTATCTAACCCAACAGTGAGCAATAAATCCTGAAAGGTACAGAATTTATGATGTGTTTTTATTGGAAATAATTTAGATACAAATATTGAACAATTAGAAGCTTAGTCTCTTTTTTCTCTGGGTTTCTGTCTATCTGTCTGTCTGTCTCCCCCACCCCTCTCTCCTCCCCCCTCAGTGTGTGTGTATGAATGTGTATGTATACAGATGCATTGTGGGTACATATAAATGTGCAGCCATAGGACAAGCTTCATGTTGTTTCTCAGGAGATACCTCCCATGTTTTTTCAGACAGGGTTATTGTTAGCTTGAGATTTACCAAGTTAGGCAGATTGGCTGACCTGCAAGCCTCAAGGATCCACCTACCACCCACCCTCTAGCACTGATATTATAAATGGGAATTCCCATGCCTGCTTTTTTACATGAGTTCTGGGGATCAGCCTCAAGTCCTCATGCTTGTGAGGCAAGTATTTTATTGATTTAACTATCTGCCCATCCCCCTATTGTGTCATTTACAAAATGAATTGCTCTTTTGAAATTTTCAGAAGGTATAAAACTGAATATATATATATGTATATATATATATATACATATATTTATATATATTCAGAGAGAGAGATAGAGACATCATATTCACTATACACATGGAAGAGAACATTAAGAAAGTAAGAAACAGATCATAAAATCCATCAAAACACCATTATAAACCAACATGCTCCTAGCATATGATCTTGGACAGAATCTTAGAACCATCTAGTCCAACACCCCCATTTAATCTCCTAAGAAATTCAGGACCAGAGGAGTTAGATGAACTGACTAATGATGCACAGCTAATGAAACAGTGAAAAGTGAAACCCCATTCTCTTGGCTGTGAATACAAATCTTGTGGTCAGTGCAGCTAATGGTCTGTAGGATTTTGATGGTAAGAGAAAGATTGAGTAATGCAGGACCTACAGGGGGAAAAAAAGTTTAAAGAGGAATGAGGAAGAAGTAGATCTGACAACAAGGGAGTGCTTCTTCTTTGCCCCATGCAAGAATACCCAAGTTCTCTTGCTTTACTGGTGACAATGCTGAATCTTTGTGAAACTATGCATAACAGAAGACAACATTACAATCACCTCCCAGGACTTCTTTATTTCCAAAAGCCCTTTTCTGGGGGAGTAGTTATGTTGGAGTGGTTCTAAAGGTAAGGTGTGGCCGGGCAGTGGTGGCGAACGCCTTTAATCCCAGCACTCGGGAGGCAGAGGCAGGGGGATCTCTGTGAGTTCGAGACCAGCCTGGTCTACAAGAGCTAGTTCCAGGACAGCCTCCAAAGCCACAGGGAAACCCTGTCTCAAAAAAACAAAAAAGCAAACAAACAAAAAAAGAGTAAGGTGTGCGGGAGGGCTCAGGTGTTCCACAGCAGTGAAAGAAGCTGAAGGCACATACGAAGCTGGTAGGTGGGAGAATGGGTTATGCAGATAGCATGACCAAATCATTAGTTCCATATATCAAAGTTAACACTGTCCAGCCACCACATCAGAGAGCCTAGAAAGATGGGGATTCAATTATTCTAAGAATGCTGTTTCCCTTTGTTAAGTTGGCAGATACAACTCAGTAGCTGGCAAATCCAGACATGGTTGGAGGAAAGAAATCCACTTATGTTTCTCACAATTCCATTGGAACAGCTCAGTTCAAGGCTAAGTACTTGCACAGAAAAGTGCTAAGGAAATGGAGCCTCATCTATTATTTGGGGTTTCTAGTAGAGGTCTTGGTAATTTCCTAGGCACCACAATAAGGAAAACATAAACATTTTTAACCAAAGAAATATTTACAATACCTTATTTCCCTCTCCAGGAGCAGACTTGGCAAACTGTTCCTTTACTTCGAGACTGTGGCTGAAGAGTGAGGTAACTTTTAACTGAAGAAACTTAAAAAAAAATACAACCCCTCCTTCTTCTGAGCCCCACCCTTTATCCCCTTTCACAAGCCAGCACACTCTTCCTTTCAGGCTTATCTTGGCCCAAAGTTCAAAAAAGTCTGAGTAGCAGACAGTAGAGTTCTTTCCTGAATTATTAATACCTACGTTTTCCACATGGGACTGCAGGTAGAAACATGAATTCTGACAAAGTGTAACTCATATCTTCCAAGCTAAATCCCTTCTATAGGTTGCTAACTGACAGCAAACAACATGGTCTCCATTGGTATGTCTATTTTTAAAAATGAATTGTATCAAGTAGAATAATGGACCACAAAATAGAAAACATTATTACTGCATCATTTGGTGCTGGTCTCTTAAGTTTCTCTCCAGTGTTCTGTGAGAAGCACACAGGCCTGGTTCCAGTCTTGCTTGGAAGGCTAGTACAGAACCCAGAGTGAGTGTTGGATCAGAGTCAATTCCTCTACCAACAGGAGCAAGGCTTCCATTAATGTATTGGATACCGTTGTTATGTGGGGCATTGCTCATCATTTTCTGCTTTTCTTTGTTTTTCTCCAGTATCCTTCACATGGTTACTCTCTTTCTGTAACACGGGAAAAGGAAATAGAGCACCAGTATCATTTTCAGAAGCATGGAGGAATGATGGCAAGAGTGAAAAGAAGTATGAGAATATCCAAAATAGCCCAGAGGAAAGGAGGGGCCTTGCCAGGCACTAGGTGCTGTTTCCACTTTACATATGTCTATACTTCTCTTCTAGTAAACTGAAGACCGGGGAAGAGCCCACTGTGGAGACTTGCTCTGGATTAGAAATAATATTTGTGGTAGGAAATTCAATGAACCCTACTGGGCCTGTAAAGAGCAGATATCAACATCCATATCCAGCTCTATTCTTAGCCCGAATGCATTGTGCAGAGGCTCCGGGAGACAGAACACTGGCTTTGGCTGATAGCCCTTCAGCAGAATAACTTGGGCTACATCACTGCTCAGATGGAAGTCTTGTTCTCATTGTTTTTTCTGCTTATATTAAACACATTTATATCTGGATGCTACTGGATGAGTCAAATTGTTTCATCCTTGTAAAAGTCACAGGACAAAGTTGTTCTCATTCTCTTCCCTAAACTTTCTCTGTATTTCTTTCCTACTTAATTAAAATCCCTATTTAAAAATGAACTGTCTCTATCAATAGAATCATTTTTGTAAGTTGTCTGTTTCCTATTAGGGCAAAAACAATAAACAAACAAAAAAACAAATAACTAGTAGTGGAACCTGGTGGCACAAGCCTATAATGCTAGCTATTCAGGTGGCAAATACAGAAGGATTACAAGTTTAAGGTCAGCCTGGGTAACTTAGTAAGCCCCTGTCTCAAAATACATAGACTGGGTTGAAGCTCGGTGGTACAGACTTTTCCTAGCATGTGTGCGGTAACAGGTTCAATCGCTTGTACCACAAGTAAGTGAAAGACAGAGAAAGACTAAGTGTTCATTATTACATTGTCTTCAAAAATTTATGGTTCCTTTAGAGGACTCCGGCATAAAGTGTTCTGAATTGCTCTATCTTTGTTGCTTTGAGAAAGGGGTGCTGATCCATTTTTCTACAATCAGTCTGTGGCGGTTTGAATGAGACTGACCTGACCTGAAGGCTTGTATATTTGCATGCTTAGCCCTCAGTTGATGAGCTCTGAGGAGAGGATTAGGAGGTATGGCCTTGTTGGAGGAGGAGTGGGACTGGAGGTGGACTTTGAGACCCAGTATCTCTCTCCCTCTCTGCCTGTGGATTAGGATGTAAAGCTTGCAGCTACAACTCAAGCACCACACCTGTCTTCATGCCACCATGCTCCTTCCGTGACAATAATGGATTAAAGTTTCTGAAACTGTAAGCCAGCTACAACTAAAAGTTTTCCTTTATAAGAGTTTCCTCAGTCATGGTGTCTCTTCACAGCAATAGAACAGTGACTAAGACACCATCTGTCTTGGTTACTTAGTTTCTATTGCTGCAATAAAACACCATGAACAAAAGCAACTTGGAGAAGAAATGGTTTGTTTCAATATCACAATCCAGGGCAGTAACTTCAGCAAGGCAGGAACCTGAAGTTGCCACGGAGGAGGGCCGCTTTCTGGTTTGCTTGGTCTGCTTTCTTAGAGAAGCCAGGCCCACCTTCTCAGGGGTGACACCATCCACAATGGTTTAGGCCCTTCCACATCAATCACTAGTGAAAGAAATGCTCTACAAACTTGCCCAGAGGCAACCTGATGGAAGCATTTTCTCAAATCAGGTTCCCCTTCCCAGATAACTCTACCTTGTGCCACGTTAACAGAGAAAAACCCAGCTGTCCATCCCACTCACCCTCAGTATTGGCTCTTTGTGCTCTTTGCTCCTTTTTGCTGTCCATTATTCTATGTTCCCACAAGTGATACACTGTGATTACTGTCTAGGAATCCAAAGTGTGTTGATATGGAATGTTTTCAAAAGTTCCATGCATTAAAGTGATGGTCCACTGAGTGATGCTATTAGAAGGTATGGAAACGTTTAAGAGGTAGATCCTGATGTAAAGTCAAGATCTCTGGTCATATGTTCTCTAAGGTGCTTGGGGGTACTAGTCTCTTTTATTCCTCTGTAGGATATCTGTGAAGTGAACAGTCCTGTTCTACACACATTCCACCACATTCTACTGTTTTACCACAGACACAAAAACAGCCATCCACCAACCTTGGACTAAAATTTCTAAAACAGCAAGACAGGATAAATCTTTCAACTTTATTATCTGAGGCATTGTGTTACAGTAATGTAAAGAAGACCAACAGACAAGGACTGATTATTATGCTCCACATACCTAAGAGAGAACAACAATACCTGTGGGTAAGTAAGCATGCTAACCTATTACATATTCCTAATTACAGATGAGTTGCAGATGCACACATATGACATACAGTGATAGAAATATAGCATGCTGTTCACTTTTGTTAAGTGCTTTCATTTGGCTGAGCATATAAGGACTCATATTTTTCCTTCATTATTAGATCAAACAGTTGCTTTTCATTAGATAGAAAATTATCTAATCACCTGCTTCTTCAGGATTACAATTTCATTAGACAGAGGATAACAATTTGTAAAACTACCATTACATAAATAATAAATAACACTGTAAAAACTGAAACTATAAAGACAAAGCAATGATGAGTATGAATTAAATAGACATCATCTGATTTTAAGATAAACACAATAGCTTTCTATAAGCATTGTTGACAGTTGTGCAGCTATTTTTGAGTTTATATTTAGTGTATAGCAGAAGTACAGAAATGTGTAGGAAAGTCTCCAAACTTTTGGCACTTGCAGAAGCAATTCTGTGGCTTATAACTCATGCTATAAAAGACAATGTATAAATAAAGCCTTCACTTTTTAGGGTGAGGAGAATCTACCATAAAATAGTATCATGTTGGTAACTTTGTTGATGATAAAGAAAATAAAAGGATGATCTGCCACAAACTGTGGGCCTCCGTGACCAGTTCTCCCTGTCATAACTGCCCCGGTGCCACCAGCAGCAATGGTGCCTTCCTCATTGACATCCACTGTGGCTTGATGGAACACCTCAGAAAGAAAAAGGTCATTCCTCTGGGACATCCCTGAGAAGTTGGCCTTGCTCTTATCGAAGGCATCCTCCATGCCCATGCTTCTCAGAATGGATTTGAGTTCATAATTTTGTTCTAGTTTGAACTGGGGAATGTAGACCGCAACGTCATCTTCAGCCATTGTGTCTTTGCCGATCCACTTGTTGAATTTATCAAAGTTTATTTCACTCTCGAGCTGCAAAGCATAAAGAACAAACAAAAAGTGAATTTGAGGTAGAAGGAAAAATATCTCAAAGTCTAATGTTGAGCATCAGTGGCTAAGCGGCTGGAGATTGGTTAAAAGCGCTGACTACTCTTCCAGGGACTCAGGATTAATTCCAAGAATGCACATAGCACCTTACAACCATAAGTATCTCCAGTCCCAGGGGATACAATGCCTTCTTATATCCTCCATGGACATTGCATGCATGTGATATACAGATATTCATGCAGTCAATACAGCCATAAGCACAAAAATAGTAACAAATAAAACTTTTTAAAAAATCAATTGCAAAGCTAAGTGTACTTTAATTACTGTATCCAAGAGGCAGAAGTAGATGGAGCTCTGTGAGTTCAAAGCCATTCTGAACTACATAAGTGAATCCCAGACCAGCCTGGAGTGAGAGCGTACTTCACAATATATATTCATGGGTTGCCATTTACTCCTCCATTGGAGATGGAACTTCACAAGCCCCTCTACTATACATACTCTTATGATTCTGTGAATTCATGTGTGCAATGGTCTTGCCATGTCCAAAACCACTGATGGCTGCTATGGGAGGGAGAGTTGGTTGTCTTCATGGATAAGGCTCCTAATGGGTTGTCTATGCTCCAGTGGATAGTCTTATATCCACACACATTTTGCCAGCACAGAATGAACTCAGTGAGGTTTTAAAAAAGAGCATGTGAAGCTGGTTGGAAATGTGTTGAGATGGTTTGAAAGGAGCTGAAGGGGGGGAGAGTAAGGAGTAGATCTTATCAAGGCCCATTACATACACGTATGAAATTCTCAAACAATAATATACATGTATGAAATTCTCAATTAATAACATATCAAGGCCCATTACATACATGTATGAAATTCTAAAACAATTAATAATATAGATGTATGAAATTCTCAAACAATTAATAACATACATGCATGAAATTCTCAAACAATTAATAAAACATAGAAAGAATTCAAAAGAAAACGAGACCTCAACCCCACACAAACAACTACAGGTAACTAAGGAATGTTGAGAGTGACAAGCATGGTCTTCCTGAGGGAAAAGCATCAAATGGTCAGTCATGAAAACATACATACAAGTAACATTATACAGACTGAGCAGGCTACATTTAAGACTATATATTTTTCTATATATGGTATATAAGCATGTGACAATAAATAATGAAAAATAGGCCTTGAGTTTGAAGCACAGAAGTGTATAGAAGTGGCTTGAAGGGGGAAAAGAGAAGGGGGAGATGTAATTATAACCTCAAAAATAAAAAATAAAATAAGCAATTACATGACTTTACCATGTTTAAAATTTGATGGACTGAACAAATTTTTTAAGATGGTAGCATGCACAACAGATTTTGGAATTTTGTGAAATGACACATTTTATCAACTGAGTTATTCGTTTTCATGACAAATCATACACCATTGCCAAGGCATAGATGCTCATTTTGAGCAAAGGAGATTTTGCTGCCAAATTTTACAACAGTTGAAATTGCAATGCATTACCAGCTCCAAGCCAGTGGATGCGTCATCAATCTCATCAGGAAGCAACAGGAACATACTGATATTTCCAAAATACGGCAGCTCTAGAATCTGAGTCTTTAGGTCCTGTATGTATCCAATGTTCAGCTTTTCACGTAGGTGCATCATCTGAACAGGTATGCTCTCACGCTGATATCGCCAAAAAATAAAATATGAAAATCAGTTCTCAGATGTTTAAGAAATTTACAGCAAGACTAAAAGACTAAATAATTTCTACTTCAATCCTAAGGAAATGTGTTTTCTTCAATCAACAAAGCAAACTATATGTTTTTAGACAAAGTCCTTAGACATAATGGCTTTTTTACTTTATAGGCAATACTAAGATATTTATAATGGTAATAATAATAAATTAATAATGCCTCAAATGAGCCAGGAAGTGAAGAAAATTCTGTTGAGTAGTCACAACAGACTTTTGAACTAGATATTATTCTAGCTTTAAAGATTTAAAAAAAATGGTTGATAAATGAAGTCATAGGGTAAGTGTAAAACATTTAAGACCAGGCAAGTGGGATTACACAGCATAGTTATAAATTACAAGGCTTTGGTCTTCACTTCTATCCACATTGACTTAGGAATTATCGAATGATACTCAGTAGTGAAAAAGCCAATACCCAGCATTCACAAGCTGTAACTCGCAAGTTGTAACACAATCAGTGAACAGTCTCTGTGTCTTCTGTATCCCTTTAAAACTCTAAAATAAAGCTAGGAAAATGCATCTTGTGTCATACCGAGTTCACATGGAAAGGATACAGCTCGTTAAGTTTCTTTTGAAATGGAGTTTTCCACTTCCCTTTGAAGTAGACAGCATTCACCAGCACCATCTTAGTGTCTTCATCTACAGAACCTTCAGGTAACAGGTTTGCGATTTCACCTGCAGGGAACACAATGATGTTCATGTTTTATAATAAAAAATATAAAAGAAACTATTAATACTGCATATAAAGTATTATTTCTTATAACATTTGGAGGGATTTTCACTTTCTTTTATATTGTCTTCCAAAGTTTTTAAGTAATCCGAGACTTAGTCAACTCAGAAGCAGGTGAAGGAGAGTAGATTGAACAAATTTTAAGGGAATGGGGTGAAATTCAAGGATGATTTCAAAAGAAACACCAAAGTTTTCTACATGGGGGGGGAAGAGAAGAAAAAATTTCCAAAGTTTTACCGTTGGTCTGGGTCTTGACCCAGGAGTTAATCTTTTTTCTGGCTTCTTCAGCACATTTAAGGAAGTCTACTGCCTCTGGTTCTGTAGAGTAATACTTCTTACAGAGCTGTATATATTCCTTTAAAACAAGAAAACGCCAAATGGAACACACACTGTATGTTAAATAAGGGAAGTGTGAGGAATTACAGGTTCCAAGAAAAGCACGGAGACATGGAGAGAAGGATGGGAGGTAAAATGGCTGTGAAGGGCGTAGAGCCAGGGACTGTTGTTTCACTTTCATCGGTAATGCCCAGTCCTACACTCCAGCACCAACTCTATCTGCCCTTCACATTAAAGACAACGAATAAGAACAAAAGTATAGCTTGGGGAATAAAGGAGAATAGCAGTTATATCATTGGGGAAAGAGTTATGTCACTGTCATCATTTATTGATCTTTGCATGGGCCATCTTCAACAGGAACGGGAGAGACTGACAGAGCAAAAGAGACAGTAAGGCCAGCCTTAAAAGCCTGCTTGCAATTTTGATTCTGTTCCTGTGAACTGTGGGGGAGTGTTTTGAAATTGACCTCACTGCTGCTGTTGGAAAAGCTCTTCTAGTTACAAGCTTCACTTACTTCCTTGAATCTAGCAGACTTCTCTCCAAACAGCTTGTTGGCACTTTCCAGTAAATAATCTCCCGAGCATGAGTTGATTGCAGAGCTGAGCAAGTTGAAGGATGAATGGACTTTATCTCTTGCTTGTGCCTGAACAGATGCAAGAAGTTTTCATTTATAACATAGTACCTCTAACTAAAGAATCCTGAAGCAATAACATTTTCTCAACACAACAGTAAAATACTGTACTAATGCATGTTTTTTAGTCCATTCGAGGAAAAAAAAATCTCTAAGAACATTGTTCAAAAAGATTGGGGTGATGGCTTCCATCTATGATCACAGGAGAGGCAGAGGCACACAAACTAAGTTCAAGGCTCATCACAGCAGCACAATGAGTTCAAGGCAAATTTATTTCAACACCCTACGGGGAGTGGGGGGGGGGAGAAACCTGTATACAAATATGATGCAGGAAGGCTATAAAGGCACAGTTTAATAATTATAGATTTCTACTGTGTCTGTAAATTAGATTCATTAGAAATAAGGAACCCCAGGGCTTGGAAGAAAGCCAGTTTCTTCTGATGTTTGTAAACTCTTGTGTTTCTAAGGAATTTCCATTATGTTACAAAATGAATAAACCCAGAGGATGTAAAATATAGCATTAGGGGTACAGTTAGTGAGACTGTATTGTTTTTGAAATTAGTGAGTGATAAAGATACATGTAAATGGACTGATCTCCCCCCCACACACACACAGTGACTGCATATGAGGTCAATGTGTTACTTTGATTGTGGTAAGTATTTCACAATGTATAGATATATCACCTCATGAATACTGCATGTGTGTAATTTTACTTGTCAGTTGTGAAGTTCTCACTGAAACTCTAGTAAAATAATACCAAAATGTATATACCTTAATAGGTTTCCATTTTACAAGGTAACCTTTGTAAGTAGAAAATTGGAACTTTAAAAAATTCACAAAATAAATGTGAGAGCAAATGCTTAAGCTTGGAGTCCATAAGCAATGTGACAGACAGACTCAATCACAACAGCAACTGAGCTAGAGTACAAGACAGAGGACTCCAGTGTTTCAGAAAACATCGTGGAGGCTTTTTCTATCTCCTCTACCACATAGCACACCGTGATAGTGGGTGGACCAGTATATACAGGAAAGAAGACTTAGGAGACAGGTCCCCATAATCTAATCATAGGCATTACCATGTAAATTGGTTACCAATAGATTACCCTTTCACCATGTTTCTAGTGTCACTAGGTAGCTGATTTTTAAGGAAATAGTATTATTTAAAAGCTGATTATTAAGGAAAAGGCATTACTTTGTAAATTGATAATAGGTAGATGAATAGATTTATTACCTATAATAGATATAGATGGATGGTCAGATAATAAGTTGATAATAGGTGGGATATAGACAACAGACAGACACATACATATAAAAGATAGATAGATAGATAGATAGATAGATAGATAGATAGATAGATAATAGATAGATGTGACAGGTAGATATAGGCAGATAGATGATAATTAACAGATGAAAGATAGATGATAGGTATAGAGTAGGTAGATGTATATGGATAATTTGCATATAATAAGTGATAGATAGCTAGACAGATGACAGATTATTGATAGATGATAGATTTTAAGCCGATAATACATTCATGCTTCACCACCTCTTAATTATTATCATTTTTCCTCATGTAATTCCCAAACATATCAATGGACATATGAACCCAAATATTCTTGTAACATAGCAAAGAACACTTTTAGAATAAGTAATTTATTATATATATAAATGCATATTATATAAATTATAAACACACACACACACACACACACACACACACACACACACACCCGAGGAATGTGATAGGATTGAGGAACAATCATGGTTGAAATGTCACCAAATCTGGATGCTGTCCTGGCTCTGCCCTTGGTCTATTTATCACTTATTTACCACAGTACTTAGCCCTTAGAATATTTATCACAGTACTTAGCCTAGGTATTCTTCCTATGGATGGAAGAACTGTGTTACATTCCTTCTCAGTTCAACACTATGACTTTGAGAAAAGAAGCAGCTAGAGACAGAATACAAAAGAAATATTACAAACCAAGCCAGGTACCTGTAAAATAGCATCAGGATAATTTCCCCTCTGTATCTGCTGTGTGAAATCAAAGCCACTGACTTTCTCTGGGGTTTCCGTGGTGATGTCATAGCCACCAACTTTGTTAAATTGCAGCACCTGCAATCAGAATCAGGGGGATGATGACATGGTCATGCAAAATTACTTCAAGTCAAAGGCTCAGGTATCTCTTGATCAGCATTTCCATGAGTTGTGACCTTTTGGGGTCTGAACAAAGCTTTCTCAGGGGTCACCTAAGACTGTCAGAAAATGCAGATATTTTGATTTATAACTAGCAAAATTACAGTTATGATGAAGCAAAGAAAATAATTTTATGGTTGTAGGTGACCACAGCATGAGGAACCATAATAAAGGGTCGAAGCATTAGGAAGGTTGAGAACCACTGCTGTAGAAGGTCCTATGCCTGGCTCTCTGTCTTTTTATATGGAAAGTAACCATAGACATTTCTGTGTCATAAAAATCCATGAAGTGCTTGATGTTGACTCCTATACTGGACATTTTAGAAATCAATATTATTATGCGATGATTTATAAAGTCTAGCCTGAATTACCTAAGTCTCATCCAGCCCACAAATTGTCTTAAAAAAACACCAGTATTATAATACTGTCTTTTAAAAAATATTTTAAAGAAAGTAATAGAACTAACTCATCTCCTCTTCTCTGAAATGGTCTTTTCTACTAAATACATTTTAAGCTGAGGGAAGTTAGAAGCCATAGTGACCTTTAACATGAATATTGGTAACCTAATAATAAGAAGGATCACCCAAGATAAGATATGCACATAAAGAGAAATTAATACCTTCATCAGAGGGCAATTTACAGGTATTTGATACACTGAATCTCTTTCACTGTAAGCAAATTATTTCATACAGCTTATTGATGGTGGTAGGTAAGACTGGCCTATGTATGTCTCAAGTCCCTTCTCCACAAACTGCCAACAGTCCAGCTTACTCTTCCAGACTCAGACTCATGGGGACCCCACCTCTAATGTCTTTGGGAATCCCTAACCCTGAAGCATTTCCCTTTGAGGCCCATGGTGAAAAGAAAACAAATTTGTAAATGGGCGGGTAATAAAGTAGGCAACTGTATCTAGTTAATTGGTGAATTTCCTAGACTAGAAGGAAAGGTGTTGGTGTTGGAGGGCCTTTCTCTGTTCCAGAGTCATAGGCCATAGGTCCTGCCTCCCTCCCCTCCTCCTCGTTCTGAAAGGACTATTTCCTGTACACATTTTCTGGTTTTCCTTCCTTTGAAAGCAACTGACCCTGAAGCAGGGCTCTCTTGGAGAGCAAGAGAGACTCCCTGAATCCCCACAAAAGTCACTGTGGGTGGTGTCTCTTCACAATGGGAGTATGACATGACTCTGGCCCATGCAAAGGTCCAAAGAGACAGCATGGCTACGACAGGACCACAGACTCATACTAAACTTATCATGGCAAAGCATCTCTTTCCTGACAGCGATCTCATGTAGCTTTAGTCTCTTGAGAAGTTTACCCACTCTATGATTCCTCTTTCTGTTATAACAATACTACATCGTCCTCCTGACCATTTTCCAACTGGAGGTCCTAGTTTTCTCATCTGTGAAATGAGTATGATAATCATTGCATCCATGCCACAGGATTCTGAGTGATGTAACTTCCTGAGAGGCTTTAAGAAGGGTCATTTATAAAAATAACAATCAAAATTAGTAAGAATTAGCTATTAATAAAGGTATTGAAGGTATTGTTTTTAGACGCTTTACATATTACCTCTCATCTCCACAGCTATCTTGTAAGTTTTATCACATTAAACTTTTCCATTGTTTAATCGAGGAGCAAAGCAGGAAACACCGGGCTGGTGCTACAGCCTATGCTTATTTCCTAGCCTAAAGAAATGCCCTTTTTATTTAGAAACCAATAAAGTTAGCACTTGAATTTTAAAATCTCTTTATGCAACAGAGTTGTAAGAAGATTGCATGGTCCCACATACTAAAGGATCTTTTTTGCTTTAGGAAATCTGTCTTTGTCAAGAGTGACCACTAGGAGAATTTTTCCAGTAATATCAAAATCATGTTAACCCAGAGCACTTCATCAGAGACTTATACTCTAGCTCTAGCACTCCTGGCCCTTTACATTCAAAACACTTTCTAAGGTTTGTAAAATGTGCTTTACTATGTTTTTCCAAGGCAAAGAAAATAAAGAGAAAGAAGTGCTGCACAACTCGGCTACCACCAGGGTTGAACAATTGAGTTTTGTTGTAAGACGTGACATTTAAACTGACAGCAACATTAAGAGGCATCTATGTACCTCCTGACCTGCTGGCTCATGTTGTCTCTGTGAAACTTTATACATGAAGTGAAAGAGGCTCACATGAAGTGGGTCACCATGTTCCTGGGAAGAATGTATTTATGCTCAGACAGTTCTCGTGGGAAAGCAGAAAGGAGCCAGTGGCATTTTGGTGTGACTGAAAGTACAATGCATGCTTGTACTTAAAGCATACATTCTTAATCTTTGCATGTATGTGGTTGCAATGAAATTTTAATTATATGATTTCCACATTCAGGTCTCTGACCCAGCAAGTAAGAAGATCACAAGAAACTGTAATACACTGTATGAATCTTTAGGTGTACTGCAATATGTAGTTTAAGTAGTTCTGGAGTCTGGAGAAGGGTCATCCATTCATCAAGGAAGGAAGACAAAACCTTGATACACAAATCCCTGGCAATGATGCTTCACATGCTGTCCACACTGATTTTGAAGAGTGGCTATCTGTAATATCCAGCCCCACTGTGTACACATAGCCTCTGTGGATAACCTGGGGGAGCCCATTAAAGCTGTATCTATCTATCTATCTATCTATCTATCTATCTATCTATCTATCTATCTATTTCTCTGAGAATGTTGACCAAAGCCACAATGCTTTTTCCTTCTTTATGACATTCTTTATAAGAAAGAGGAACAGACCCTAACCATCATGACAGTGTTAAGAGCAAGCCTCAGCTGGAAGTTAGGAGGCCATGGTGCTCTGGGAACAGGTTGCCAGTGTTCTCATTTGTATAATGATATTTGACTTGAAACCAAGTGAAGTGAAGCAGGCAAAACACTTGCTTTGCAAAGTATGAGCATGATCTGATTTAAATGGAAGATTTTGCCAGGTGCTATTTTCATCCTTGTAGAAATGCTGACATTCTTCTGCTAGCTGCAGTAGAGGCATTCCCTGATTGACTTTATCGACGTAAACTCACAGAATCTGTGTTGTGATAGCAATCATGCCACCATCCCTGCTTTCTTAGAGTCAAGATGACCTGAACATAAAACAAGATCAAGCCTGCAACTGAATTCATAAAACATTGGGTTCTGATGTGAGGTTTAAAGCAAACTTACTTCAGCCATCTGGTGTTCAGTGTCGCCTCTGGCACCGAGGAAAACCATGGCCAACGTGGACGAGATGCTCCATGGAGACAAAAAGATATTCTGAGAAGAGTTTGTTTTTTCTATATGCTTGAGGATATTGAGGGCGAACATGGTGTTTGCCATGGAAAGTTCTTCCATTGTTTCAGTCTAGAATGAACGGGAGGAGAGAAAATGAGGTTTGAATGACTTTTTGGCATCATGAGTGAATGCAGCAGACGAATATAAGCTGTGTCCTGCCTACAGCTCCCTTCCTGTCTTCCCTTCATGGGACAAAATGAGGCAAGGTGACAATAGCTTAGTCACAAACCCTGCGCATCTCACAGTGCCCAGAAGTAACATTTCCTGTCACCATTTTGAAATCTGAATCATTTTAAACAAGAAAACCTGCATGCACTTTCAGTTTTCCCCAGACTCTGTAAACTATGTAGCCAGTCATAAGATATGAACAATATTATAATGAGGAATGACTCCATGATGTTCATATTATAATAGGGATAACAGTAACACTCATTTGAATTCTTACTCTCTATGTATTAGGCCCAGAAGACTATAGACACTAAACTGTACTCAATACTTTACTTCGGAAATCATTTAATCCTCGCTGAAATCCTATGAGGGAAAGGACTGATACCCCTCTACAAAGGAAGAAACTCCTACTGCATAAAAGTCAGTTAACCATGCCATTTAATAACAAAGGAAGGGAGGTGATGCTGAAGCCAGGAAAGTGATCTCTAGGGTCACCCTCAACCTCCATGTTTCACCCATATTCATACGACACATACCCACACCACATAAAAATATATACATATGCAGAATACAATAGACATATCCAAATTGGTGCCACATGTACACAGTCTTGCTGGGTTCAGGTGAGACAATCTTTCAACTTCATTTGGAAGTGCATAGACTTATTTCAGGGTTGCCATCTTCATCCAGATTCTACCACCCTCAGCACATATTCATCTCACATGTCTCAGCCTTGTTCTAAGGGAGTTCACTTTAGTACCTCTTCTTTGTCACACAAATCCAGGTACCCACAGGAATTCAGGGATAATCCAAGATGTGGGAACCACACAATTTGCTTAATTTATGCCTAGCTAAAAAAAGATAGGCACACCTTCCATGACTTAAGGCTCTATGTGCATGCAGCTGGATGCTTGGACACACCCAAGGGTGTGTGTGTGTGGGAAGGGATGTTGGGAGGTCACCATCTTCCTACTTCTCTATTTTTCTTTCATCACAACTAAAATAACCTATAATTACCAAAATACACAAATACACCACAGAATGACAATACTCATCTCTTTGTAAACCTTCTGGAACAAAGACTTTCCAGAACTGGGGAGTAGTGGAGAGACCACTGGATGAAGCAAGTCTGTAGCTATTGTCCTAACTATCTACAGAAGTGTTGTGGAAGAGAGAAGAATTTGCACCCAAATCTGTCATTTGTAACATAATGCAATTTCATTTTGTAAAGACAAAAATAGTAAATTAAATTGTGTTCCTTAAATTCTTCTCCACCCCTTGTCTCTTCATTTAACTTATTAGTGTTGGGGCCAGGGGCATATGAGTGTGAGCATGGGTGCACATGTCATGAGGGGGGCATGTGGAAATCAGAAGACAAATTTATGGAGCCAGTTTTCTCCTTGCCCCTTTACATGGGTTCTGGTTATGCATCTCACCGGCCCTTTTGTTAAATTTTGTAGCCCCTTAGGACGTAGATATGACTGACTGTTTCACTGAGGGCATTCCAAAACTGCTGGAGGTGAAACAAGTCCTGTGAGGACCCACAGCTTACTGTGATGCCCCAGAGCAGAGCAGGCTAGGATCTGCCACAGAAAGCCCCCTGACATCCAGGTCTCACAGGCTTCACTGTGACTGTCAGTTACGGAAGTACTATATTGAGAAATATTTGAAAGGGGAAATGAAAACAGGAAAGTAGCAAGTCCGTATTGCTCCTAGAAAGTTTATTAACTTAGAAGAAACAGCATTGCTTGCTTTCTTGTGTCATCAGAGATGCCACATTGAGGTAAGTAGTTCAGAAAATGACTTCTCCGGTGGCTTAAATTTATAATTAATTAGACTCTATGAATAAGTTTCCTTAATAAATTATTTTTAAATTATGAATAAAATGTTTCTCTGTCCCTGTGTGAAAATTCAAATAAGGGGTCAGGCCAGGAGAGTACATTACAGTCTCTCCTGCTCTTCTGACAGTGCCACAATCTGGAAGCCAGTCAGTCTCTTAGACATTTACAAGATGTAAGGGTCAAGGCCTAGCATCAACAAAGGCAGTTAATACTAAATTACAACTCTGGGAAATTTGACAGGTAATTTTATTAAGCAGAGTAAAATTATCCCAGATATAGTTATTTACTTCTTAAGAACTCATCTCTGTCTGAGGGAGTAATCCAGTACTATGTATACAGTGACCTGTGTTCACATCCCCAGTTCTAGCCAAAGAGAAAAAAAATTGAACCAAACAACCTCAATTACTTTGTATTAGAGAGGTTGACCTTGAACTCAACAGATAGCCAAGGATTATCTTGAACTTCTGATCCTCCTTTGTCTGCCTCCCATGTGCTGAGATTACACACTATGAAATCAAGCATGACTTATACAATACCAAGGATTGAACCTAGGGCTTCATGCTTGCTAGGAAAGCAACCCATCATCAGACCAACATCCCTTGTCCTGGAGTTCTATTTTCTAATGATGTGCTGTTTATTACACTTACATAAAAATGATAGTTGATGTCTTTATTGCAGTTTCCTAGTTACATCTGTAGCCACATACCCTATCTCCTTTGCTATTTCTGCTATAGTAATGAAAATGTGAAAATATAGATATTTCAGAACTAATTCAGTTCTGAGTCTGGGCTTTTTCCTATAAATTCCTCAAATAATATTTGAAAGTTTCAAACTAGTATACATATCCACATAGTATCCTCTGGCTCTCAGACAAGCCCCCATCTTATGTCTGAATGGGATGATCCCCCAACAATATGAAATTGAGGTCATGGTATGATGTAAGTACCAAACACAACCTCTCTAAACTGGCACACATGTGTTGAGCTTCCTAACAGTATAATAATGCACACAACTTCATATGTTTCCAGATATGACACTATTATGAACATTAGTAAGAATGAATGGAAATTTTCTGCTGGGTTGGGCTCTCTCCTCTTTCTGTTGGTTCCTGCAATACAAGTTGGCAAATGCACTAGTGAAACTTGGCAGAAGTGATGAATTTGGGAGGTGCCACAGGCTTACCACCTGCCATACTCCCTCTCCACAATAGGCCTAGATGCTAAATTGGATTTTGCTGCAGCATTTCAAACAGTTTTGTATATTACCACATAACGAAATGCTTTGAAATTGATTTCAAAAATCAGTGAGAACTAAGATAAAACAATAGTAGAAAGGAAACATCCCATCAAAAATAAAACAAATTTCCCAGAAATTGGGAGCAGTATTTTAGTTGATAGTTTTCTTAATAAGTAATTATCTGGAGATTAAATTGCCAACTTGATTAACCCATTAGCTAATTTATTTGACATTTATCTTTCAAAGAATTGACCCATTACTGAGCTAAGTTAAATAAATATATTCTGATCCTGGATTGTTCTGACCAAAATTGCTACTTAATTTTTATAGTTTCTAGCTGTTAATTTTAGGTGAAAATTGAATGCCATTTATTTATATCTAATGTAATGATTAATTTCAAATTTTTAAATATAAACATTTTAATATTTGTATCTATTCATGTCTAATTCTACATCAAAAAATAACTAATATAAAACATACATGTAACCTATTCAATAATATTAAAATTGAAAGTACAATAAATGTACATTTCAATTTCAGTTTGATTAGTGGTCTTCTGAGATTCAAAGTTAGGCAGACATAAATTTAGTTCAAGTCTTAACCCAAATGATCTTTAGTTAAACAAATGAAAAAGAAAACATGGTTACAGGTTTTACTCATTCTCTACCCAGGTCAATATATTAAAATATTACTATGAAGGAAGAGTAAAAAGGAAAGCCTGAATTCATTAGAGATGGCCAGGGAATTGCTGAAGCACTGTATTATCTCCTTACCCCGTAGTGAGTTGCTGACAGCCAGGAAATGCTCCTTGGAAAGCTGGCATGATACAGACAAGGTAATGACTGGTTTTATAGAGCTGTGCCCCTCCCACACTGCTTTTTTTAAAACTTTTTAATTTGTGTTCTTTGTATGAGTCAACATTTTACTCATAAAGACATCATTAGAAAAGAAATGCTTGTTTGTAATGTTCAGTTTAAGAAACAACTTGAGGGTATGACATCATTCAGAAATTCAAGAATTTAGCAATTTCCAATTTAAACTATTAGAAGCTATCTGCACCATTCACACTTGGGTCTTTCTCATTTCTCATGGGTACTCGATGATAATATTAAATTCCATGATACTCTGTCCTTTGGACAGCCACCATCTGTGAGGATCTTTACAATAAAAGATAGGGTCTTTTCTCCCCTTTGAAGTAAGGGAGAATCAAAGGACCCTCCGAACATAAGAGGAAAGAAGCAGAATTTTGATCATCTACTAATTCTCTATTTTATACTCTGATTTTCTCAGGAATAATAATAAATTCTGGGCTCAACTCTAACTTACTGTCTCAAGACACACCCTAAGAACTTTTCATATGCCCTCAGTTATACCATAGATCTTACCCTACTTTAAACAATAACAAGCTACTGCTTACATTGACTTATAATTGACAGAAATTCATACATGCTAACTGGAAATTGTAATCTTGAACACTATTTTGGGAAAATAACCGAAATTTTAAGTACACCAAAGTTATTGAGAACAAAAAAGACAAAACTTACACATAACTAAATGTAATCATGAATCTGAAAATGTTCACATTGTTAGAATTTATTAGAAACACATCTTCCAGATCGCTTCTCATCACTTCATTGTACATTTCTATAAAAAAAAAAAAAAAAACACAGACACAGGGGCACAAAAAGGTGTCCTTCTTCTCCTCAGCATGCTGGAGAGAACTCTGCGACTTTCCCTATATTTGGAATGCATATCTCATCTCAAGTGTCAGGGAAACTGAGACCAGACAAGGAGACAGTGTCCACTCCTATGTCCACCTGTG